GGAAATCTCCTTAGGTAACAAGATTTTTTTTTCTTAGAAGCATAAGATTCTGCTCAATTGTATGGTATTAACATTAGTCTCGTAAATGAGACTGGAACAGATTTAGGCACAGATAAATATAGAGGCTGAAGTTTTAAAAAACACAAATCACTTAACTGTTACTGAAAGTCAGAGAACAAAAGATCACAACATTCTTGTGCATCTGAAAGCTTTCCCCCGACACCCTGCCTTCCTGGATACCTAATTTCTAATAGCAAGGTGAGTTGTATATCATAACAATGGTAGAATTATTCAGATCGTAGAGATAAGTAATACAAAATAAGGATAGTTATACATGACACAAAAATGACTGTCTCTATTTTAACATGAGAGAATATGGATAAAAGATGGCTGCAGTCGAGAACATGTAAGTACTGAAATCTCACTTTAAGACCAGGGCTGCATCAGGCATGCTGTGTTCTAAACAAAGCTCCTCAGGATTTTATTTTAAAACACAGACTCATTTATTTTGTGCACCAGGTCTGACTCCATGGCAACCAGGAAATAGTTGCCAACCCCAGCAAATTTCACGCCTAATTAATGCACAACAAAACTAATAGTTGTGCATCTTGGTGATGAGACATGAAATATGAAAACATCTCACTACGTAAAATAATCTGGGTTTTACATCAGGGAAGAATTTTGAAAGAGTTCAGGTGTCAGAAGCACCTGTTTTATTGACAAAAGTGACTCCAGAGAAATGGCATCTTGTTTCACGTGTGTATTCAGCCATGTCTCCTTAAGTTTAAGAACAAGAGCAGTCAGTGCTCCTTTTCACTCCTATCAATCCCATTGGGCCAAGGTGGACGAAAAGAGTGTGAATCTGATTCTAATTCTTGTGGCCCATTAATAGAAATATTTATTGTGTTCCATTCAGCTGTACAAATTTGTTTTCTCACTTAATCTTCATTACCCATGATGATACGTGAGAAACAAATAACCCCATTTGACTCTATAAGATGATTTTGTAGAGTGAGAAAATATAGTGAGGAAAAAATAATTATTTACTCATAAATGAGGACATTTAATATGGATTTTTTTACAATAATCATGCCATTTCCATAATCACTATTCAGACTAAAGCCACACATTGAAAATATTTCTAATTGCTGTGAAATCTCTACAGAATCCAGTGAATTCTAAATACCTTTAATTACTTAAACCTGCAACTCTGCCAAGGGATTTGTGGAGGAAGAAAAAAAGCAGAAGAGTTTCTGTGGAGTATACCAGAAAACAGTAATTCCTATTGGCATTCCTCCAGTAGCTATTTAGTAAACTACTCCCAGAGCCATGCAGGTTACTACTACTGACAGCAGGTATACAGCTACACAAAGAGGTCACTTAGTAAAACGAAGCTGTATTGGCTTTATCAAGCCATTTTAGTAACATACAAAATTTATTTACAATTAGACAAAAACCACTCTCAATGACAAAAGAAGTTACCTTCTAAAAGGGTAAGAACGAATAGAAATGCAAATCTAAAACTGAGAAATTAGTGCTTTGTGACTTTCTGAATCACTTCAGAACTGAAAGAGCAGAACATGATTTTTGCCTACCTTTCTTAGTGTCAGTCCCAGATCCAAAGCCTGCAGTGGTGCTTGGTCGAAGTTCAGAGCTACTCTGAGGTGTTACGTTTGCTTTGGCATTATTGGCTTTTCCTTTTCTATCATTCTTTGAAGTGTCATTTGGTACATCAGCTATATCACTCTGAAAGAAACATTCACATCATAATAAATTAATAGTTGCTTTACATGTAGTATGAAAGTTGAAGTATAGTAAATTTCTGAACTTGCTTACTTTAAACATAATTAAGAAAACTGCAACATACTTTCAAACAACACTATACTCACTAAAGTATTTGTAATGTATTTTAAATGGCTTCCTACTAAAATATGGCTCCTTTCTAATTTCTCAAAATTTCTACTTCTAAGGGATGCATTAGTACGATCTTTGAAAAGTCAGCTGGTGAATGGTATTTCAGTGTATGTTAACTAACATAAGCCAATGTATTTCAGAGTAGGACAAAGAGGCTTATATTTGAAAATAAGAAATGATAAGGTAATATGCATCGATTGGAGAAGGACCAGTTTACTTTAAAAAAAGAACACAATGACAAATGCAGCCCATTTATGTTCACACTAACTTCTACTTACAGTTTCAATACCCATGGCTCTCATTTGATCTGCTCTTTTTTCTGTGATAGACAAAAATTTCTTTGGATCTGATAAAGCATCCACAATATCTGTAAAAACAAAAAATCAAATTTTATGATCTTCAGAAGCATTTGGAAATTAATCTTTCACAAGAGCTTTTTTTCTACCTCTGTTCTTATGACCCATGGCTTACAACAACAGTTCAATTTTCCATAGTGAACCTGGCAGCATTGAAAGCACTCACTCGGTGCCACAGAACTTGAACACACTAGGAACACAGATCAGTTTATAATGCACCAAGGGAGAGGGTAGCCTTTGGTTGCAGTGACCATGACGTGGTGGAG